CATAAATATAACTTAAAACCAGCAGGAGCACAACTCAAAAGCGTAAAGGTACCGCGATTTAATATTTTCCTGAATAATTCTTACATTATTTTATTGTTTGTTAATTTTACAACTTTACCATATTTTGCATGCACTGGCGAACATTTGGTGAAAATTTGATGAAAATCGGACTGATATTGAGCGCGCAGTAGCGATTTTCCGCAAAACGCCAAAAACGGTGTCCTGTAACCTTAAATATTACGAATTTCATTGTATGAATAACCATCGTCTTCACGTCCCACATGGCCACACCGTAAGGTTCCTGGCCTATTCTAAGGAGGAAACCCGACATAAGCTAGATTTATTCAGACTGGATATCTCGATCAGTTCTAAAGATCCAGTAATAATCATTCAGTGTTACACAAACTTAATTTTGACTTACTGGACAGCCTTTTTATAGTGCTAACCTGTTTGCCTTCGACGTTCGAATACTCCTATAGTTTATTGCTGCAGTGTTACTACCGGAGGAAATCTACATTAACTTTATCTACAGCGGATAGTTCTGATAGGACAATTTTAGTCAACTCTTGTGGTCCGGTGTTACTAGAGGAGGAAACTGGAGTGCCTGAAGAGAACCTGTGGTGTTTGGTAACGTCAAACTGGAAGCACTCTCCTCACATGCAACTCAAACAAACATAGTTCTAATCTGTTCTTACTAGCGCTAAAGGTCCGACAAGGTCCTCTGACAAAACCTGGAACCTTTTGTATACTAGAGAACAAGATCTCCAGTCGGAGGAGAAAAGCACAGCTACTGTGCAACCAAACCTCTTTGGGACATCCTGTATTCTTAGTCTTAAGGCAATTTATGCTGCAACTTGCAAAACAATTTCAGACATAGACCCATGCATGCTGTCTGCATGCGAAGCATGACCCATTTTTCATATCTTAAGAGTATGTTATGTAACGAAAGTGTTGGTTGAGAGTAGATTTATTTAGCTATGCTCAAAATTTCCCTGCTGACTACTTTTTCAGGTACATTTACACACTGCGTTAATGACGAATATTTTCGGTTGGTGAGGTCGACGGATGATGTTCGCCACCTATTTTCCAAATATCATTAACGTGCCTCTGAAATCGGTAAGACAAATCGGTAAGACAAATCGGTAATGTCTAAAAGAAATGGACGAGAGGTAGTTTACGAGATGGTTCGAAAATTGAAATAAGAGTTTGCGTTAGTATTAAGGTTAGTGTGGGAGTTAGTATTAGAGTTAGGTGTGGGGTAAGGTTTAGTAAGGTTTAGTACCGGTTGTTGATTATTTGACGTTTTAATGATCTTAAAAACCGGTTGCCATCTTATAAATCTGCCTCTAGTCCATCCCCTTTAACCACGACCAAGACAAATCGCAGTTTCTCCAACGTACGTAACATATGACTCTGTATCCGAAATTGCGTTCCAAGCTGCAGTAAAAATTGCCTCGTGTGACATGACCTTTAACTCAAATTCTTACCACAATGTAACGGTTCAATCAACATATCTCCAGTCGGGCTACACTTGCCACAGTTTCCTCCGCACTTGGCTGACAAGACTTGACTTTCATTTCTTATTTGGAAATCCTGCATTTGAATACCGGCAGGTCGACTTTCCACTGACCATCTTACTGAGGACTGCAGTCTCATACCAGTCCCCGTCAGATCAATAGAAAAACTACCTAAAAAATATAACATAATAATTTTATAAATCATCTTTGTTCAAACCTATGATTTCGTCAACAGGAAGGATGGTACTAGGCATGTGAGTTATCTAATGCTAAGTTACTTTTCTTCTATCCCATGCTTGCGTAAACTAGAATAATATAGTAACTAGGAATGGGAGTTATCTAATGCGAAGTTACTTTTGTTCAAAAACCAATACCAGCCGACAATTTCAAAAAATATAGTGCATGAACCCAAAATATGAGTGAAACAAGAAAGTGGTTTTGTTTGACTCATATTTTGGGTTTCAAGATGCTGTAATCTTCGGATTATGTTTTGTACTATATTATTTTTGCTCAATTCTATGCTTTAGCCAACTATACAGTAGAACAATAGTAATCAGGCATTACGCACCTTTCCGACAGTTCCCGCGGTTCGACGAATAACAATCACCGGCTGTACCATAAGGTATCCGTTTCCCAGCACTACTTGCAAACTTAAAATCTCCTGGTACGATTTTTGACCCTGGAATATCGAGCCTCACCTTATAAAATCTCGTATACCCGCCTTCAGAATAAGGGACATTCCCGGGGTTTAGTCCCCCACACTGGTTGCGTATAGAAGGAGGGAGACGGCGGTCGTATATACGTGCGTGGTTGTCCGAGCCTTGGGCTAGGGTAAGATATTCCTTTGGTTGGGAAGTGTGCATGTCGCTACAGTATACTTTAATTGGTCGTTGACATTTTGGATTGAGGAGCATCGAGTATTCGCCATCTTTATTTCCGAGTTCTTCCTGAAGTGCTTCTTTGCAACTGGACACCACTGGGAAGAAAATAGAAAAGTATACGCTCTAAATAAACTCTGCTGTTATATCATCACTTCATCATGTGATCCCAAATAAACATTTTTATTGTTCTATATACTCTCATTAAAATGGCCAGAGACATAGAAACTTTATTTTAGCTACCTATAAAAAGCGCTCTTCCGCTATACAAACAAATAAATACTATACATATAGTTAATGCATGAGGTCACTTCGTAGTCTTTTCTTAAAAATCTTTGTGTTCGTAATTTTCTTAATATCGCGAGGCAGATCATTATACAATTTTGCCCCGCTGTGAGAGAACATTAATCTTTGTCCGGTTATTTGAGCGGACTAATTAGAAAAGACGAAGAAAAATTCCGCTCCACGCGCAAAATTTCGCCTATAGTGGTCACCGATGCAGTGAACTGATGCAGTGAACTGCATGGGTTTCCGTTATATAACGAAAGTTGATTGTATGTAGCATAGTTTAGCTTGCACGTAAAGCAAAATAAAAAAAAACACTCTTAATGGATACTTTTATAATTTACCATGCATTTGTGCATAGTCTGATAGTCACAAGACTTTAATACAGGGACATTTTGCTGTGCAGTCGTAACTGCGAACTGATGGGAAATTGGGAATCTAAAATATCCAGGGTTCGTACATGTGAGGGAAGAGTCAAATTCAAGGACTTTTCAAGGACATTCAAGGCCATGTATCAGTAAATTCAAGGATTAAATACTGTTGAAAAGGGGTTAGAAATCAGTAAAATCTGACGTTGAATTTTTCAAAACGCAACTTAATTTAATGAGTTTCAAACAGCTTTGGCAGATATGAACATGCAAATCATTCGACAAAATATACGTTTTGAATGTCAAACAATTTCAGAAAATATCCAAAAACTAAAGCAAGAAGAATTTAAAGACTTTCAAGTACTACTTTACTAATTCAAGAACATTCAAAGCCTTGAATTTTTGTTTTCAAATTCAAGGACATTCAATTAGGACTTTCATGATCAAGTTTTGTAGGACCCCTGTATATCATTTAAAATTCCTAATTTCGGAAATGGACGAGACTTTCAGTCGTGCACTTAATTCCAATTTCCTCCCACAAATCCACTCTTTTTACCTAGAAATCAACACGACTTACTGCAAGGTCCATAATATTGAACTTCTATCGGACGCTGTCGTATGCAGGAATATCGCTGTACAGTACAGAGGTTGGGATATGTCACTCGATCCTTGCCACACACTGGGTTGTTGTCCTTCTTGCTGCATTTGATTGGACAGAAACATGTAGCTTTACCAGTTGATAGTAACCCGCATTTCCCGCCGTATTTACATTGCAGTGTACTACTGCATATGTCTACTGAACGTCGCAAGCGGTGATGGGAATGTTGCTGGATCTCTGAAGAGAAAAGATGAGAAATAACAGTGTTGGGTTTTTACTAAGCATTGCACTATTAATAATATACATGAAAAATATCTCAATTCTGATTGGCTAAGAGCAGTGCAATATTTTCGAAATACAGTATTAACAGTAAATAGTATGGTTTCCCGTGCAATTTGAAAAAAACGACATACACTCGTGAGTTTTTCAAAGACTTCAAATTGCAGTTCGTCCGAATGTTGAAGTACTATTTAAAACATGAGCAGTAGTGTTTTATCAAATATAAAGATACGAGGCGAAGCCGAGTAAGTTCATAATTGGCGAAGTAATTTTCCAAAAATACATTGTGTAAGTTAAAGTTTATTATGTAAATAAAGGGAAGTCTCATGTCTCTATCACATATAAAGATACGAGACGCTTATGATTCTTCTTTGTGTTTTCCTCATGAATTATTAATGCTCTTTTGAAAGTCTTCGAAAAACTCACTCGTACATGTTTTTTTTTCCAAATTGCACTCGAAACCATACTATTACCTATACAAATTTCAAAGAGTTGAATCAACTCTTGGAGTATAACACTTTTGGAGTTGAATCAGCTCTTTGAAATTTACAGTGTATCGTGTGTTATATTGCTGCTCTGCATTCTTTAGATTTATTAATTTTCCCACAGAATATTTACTAGTAAGTAGTAGTAAAAAATATTACAATAATAGTGGACTTGGGACTTTTGGAAATCCTGTTGGACTTTTATTGTAACGCGCCCCTTATGAAAAGAAGACGGATTATTCACAAACAGAAACGATTTACAATAAATTGAATGATGAAAAAGTATAAAATAGTATATTACTGTCATTAGTATTCCTAAGAATTTTATTTACATCAAATAAATGTAATATGCTATACAGTAACTTAGTGGCAACTTTCGGAGTCAAGCGAAACTATACTCTATTTTTTAGGACATCGACTAATGCCGACTTCAGTGTTTTAATCTGTATAAGACGACGAAGGTTATATTTAACGTGTCGGCGGAAATGCTGAGATAAGAAAGGGTTTATGAGCATCTAAAACTTATACCTCTTAAAACCCTTAAGACACTTTAGTTTAAAAGAGGCCCGGGTAATTTAATCTGCCCAATGCCAAATGATCTATTTTGGCGTGAACTGGAACACAAGTGATAATTATGATAACTCACAGCCCAAGATATTTTATATTCCAAATATTGGCTAGCCATCAATTAAATTTGAGGAGGGGTAGCTTGCCAAACCCACAAGAACCCCTATAGATAGGGCTGCATTGTCATAGCACTTCCCCACCAATAAAAATCAACCCTACCTTCCAAACTACTCGACTCGACATCACTAAAATCCTCTTGCTTCACACTCCAATAGTGAAGAACTTCGAACACATCTTTGTCCAATGGCAACACATAAAATATGTAAACTCCTTTTGCCCCTTTCGACGACTCGTCTTGCTCAAAATTTTGTAGAGTCACGGTTGAAGGAACCTTCACATTCTCCTGAATTAGCAACGTCTTTATAACTTGCACTAATACCGTTCTATCTTCGCCTATCTTTATTATCTCGCCTGTAAATACTGTTCCATTTGACAATAAAGACGACTCGATACCAGAAAATATTCCAAGCCAAAGAACCAAACAGACCACAGCATACATGATCTGTTAAAATGTCTCCAACTGTTCCTGGATTGGCCTGAAACTCAACTTAAAAAGGAGTACTGTTAATTCTAGTGTTTTTAAACATTACAAAGGGAAATTTAACGGCTGTCAATGTTGAGCGGATGTGTTTGAATGAAACAGACAGGACGAGCTTAACTCTTTCAAAAACATGGTCAAATATCGGAATATAAACACGAAATCCGATTAGCTTAGCCTCACATGTATTGAAGTGTTAAAAAAATAACAAAAAATCAAGAAATATTCATTTTAACAACGTAATTCATAAGGAATTTAAAAACAAAATTTTAACCTATAAATATTAGCGTGGAATTGTGGAAACTAAAGCTTAAAATAAAAATTACTCTATAGCATTCAATCAATATATTTTACAAAATTAAAGTTATATTATATATAATTCGATTATAAAATCATTTAAATGTAATAACTAATTTAGTAATTATGCTTAATGTATACCTCTTTATAAACTCTGAAACTGCTGAATTAAAAGTTTAAACTTCCGATCATTATTTTTAAAGCAGAATGGCGATGCATGACATTTTATTCAGACTTGTACTGTGATATTATAAAGGATTACGTTTTCCGGTTGTTGTCCCATGATTCTATTTTTCTAAAATTAATTTTTGAACTGGACCACACATGCATTTAATAACCGATATGGAACTATTTTAATTGTACGAGTGAGCACCGATTTATTTACACTGGACAGCTCTATCAATTCGATCGAACTTGCCCTGCATGCTTTGTAACACACACTGATATTTTCAGAAGTTAAGAAATACGTTTAGTTTAAAATACTTTCCCAACAAAAGGCGATTCAGTAATCATAAGTGTGTCGTAAGTGGAATGCAGGACTCTTTATACACTTCAAGTATCGTAATTAGTCTCTTTTCAAGAACGATATTGGTTTTCTCGTCAGTTTTGACAGTACAATAAAATATAAATTCCACATGACTTCCGTGAGAGGTCTTTGCCAATATAAGAAAGATTAATCCCAAATATCCCAGGATAGTATGACGTAAAGCTTGAGCCGTTGTTGTACCCGAACAGATGTCGTTAGGGAGCATCTGAAGGACACTCTAAGGATTTGTGACGTCAGTTCAATGGGTCTATAGTTGGTCACTATAATTGATTTACATTGACAACTAACTATAGTAGTTCTCAAAAGTGCAAAGAAAAACAAGTATTTTGACCTGCGCGAACTTTCACCTTGTAAAGATGGAGTCAGACCTTTGAAAAATTGGTCAAAATTTTCGCCAACTGAACAAGGTCAAAATACATACCCTCCCTCCCAATGTTAATGACCTCTGATTATCGGAATATTAAAGGCAATGTCACCGATTTTGGACCTAAAATGCCTTTTATTAAAAAAACTGAACTACAAAGTTAAAAATAAACATTGTAAATGGATTAAGTTATGATCATGAGTCATATTAAACAACTTTGAACCTCCACGCAACATGTAACATGACATTTTCATAAAAATTGATCTAAACTTGAAAAATTGTCTGCCAACAATTAATCAAGATGCCATTTACAATCCATCTCAATCCTGGCGTAATCTTGCCCATACAGACTTTGATCTGCACATGTTTTTGTGTCTGTTATTGCTTTATTTTGTGCTTACATTCATTCTTTTTCAGTTTGGGGCAAAATTTGCGAGGGTTAGAATTGCTCAAAAATCGGTGACATTGCCCCTTTAATGGCACAATTAGGAACGACATTATCGCTCATGCATACATAACTAAAACCTAATTAGTATAATTATCATTGCTAACTGCATTACATTCGATTGTTTTGGAACATAATTATCGGCTCCGATGCATTTAATGTTCGCTACATTTACAAGGCAACAGCAAAACAACACGGACAGCGTTACGGGGCGACGAAACTTTACCGCTCTTTTGTAAGAAATGGAATGGTCCAGCTATCTGAAGACGATTAATGGAATCCCTAGTCTTGTTTCGGCCATTTTGACACGAATTTTATTTATAATTCATGGATTTTTCGCAATATTCTTGGTAGTCAAGAACAAGGATGATGCTAGTCAATGGTGGCCTGTGTTCTTTCTGTTTTTACTCATGATAGAGAGCGCGTACACTATACTTGTCAGACGAGGCGAAGAATACAAGTAGTGAGTACCAATGTTCCGTTTTACCACATCCGAAACAATTAATTCCAAGTTGTTCTGGATTATTGAGAGCGTGTCTGGGTTACAGAAACAGTAATTATTAAGCGCTGCTCAAACGAGCATGAGAATTGATGATAGCGAAGAGTTTGCATGAGAGTTTTCTCAACTTTCATGTCTCTGTCAAACGAGAACAAGAGTTGCATGAGAGTTGATGAGAGTCGACTGGATATTACCAAAAACTCTATGTAGCAAAAACTCTCAACTCTCATGAAAGTTTGAACCAGTTAAAAGTTGATGATAGTTAAGAAGATCGATAAGAGTTTCAGTCAAACGCGAGCGAGAGTTACAGCTCTCATCCTCATTTGACCGATGCTTTAGTGCAAGTACTTTCACTTCTTTGACCAAATTTCGATTTCTGCAATATTTACTGCAATTGTCAAATCACACTTTTGCCTGAGTTGTATGCGAGAAGAGTGTTACCAGTTTGATCCATCAAACACCGCAGGATATAACCCTGGACCAATAATGAATTTCCCTTACTGGACTACTGGGGAGAACAGTCTATATATTAGACAGAGCTAATAATGTTAACTATGCGAGTTAAGTTAGTTTAGTTTCCTCCTGTGTTAAAACAACATTGAACCTACTGATAGAGCTAAAAGTTGACGAGAGACGATCATCAGCTCTCGTCCTGGTTCAATCGAAACTTAAATAAAAGTTAGCTAAGGTACTCGCATTTTAAGTTTCTTCCAGTAGCAATAGTAGACCAACAAAGGCATGAGTTTCTCACGAACGTCCTGAAAACAGTTTAGATGAGAACTAATAGAGCTATCCAGTGTAAAATATAGTTAGTTTCTTATATAACAAGTTTCTATACTATACTATAGTGCAGTGCAAGAGGTCAGAACATAGACGAACGAGGCAATTAATACATGCAGGGATTGTGTAGATGAATGGTTACCAGTAGATTCTCATAATATTTAATATTGCATTTTTCTGTAGTTTTTGGCCAAGTTGCTTTTTGTACATAATGAGTGTGCTGCCTTCGGTATGGACAATGGAAATAGATTTGTATCACGAAAGATACAATGAACGAGAGTTGCAAATGATGCAAGTTGCCAGTAGCAACAGCAGTTTAGTAAACACTGATGAGGACAAGGTATGTTGTGTGAAATTATCATACTCTTATGTAGTCAAAGAGAAACTGTTAGTTAGTTGCCGGTAACAAAATAACCTACTAATTGGGGACACTTACGCCCGTATTCTAAAAGCTCACTCAAACTCTGAGATTCTCTAACTGAGATTCTCTCTCGTGTCATTGCTGTTTTGAATAGCGGGAGGGCTAGTTTCATACCTTACTATGTGACTACTAGTACTCACCCTCCAGCTATTCAAAAACAGCATTGACACTCAAGAGAAGCTCAGATTGAACCTCCACTCATTGAGTGTGAGTGAGCTTTTAGAATACAGGCGTTAGTTTTGATACAGCAGCTGTGAGAAAGAAATTCATTTGCTCGAGTGGGATTCATTCTGAACTAACTTTTACCTCATTATATTTGCATTGGACAGCTCTGTCAGTTCGAAGTTGTTCTCCTAAAGATCCTTTAAAGCTCATCTCTTATTGGTTCAGTGTTACTACACGAGGAAACCTAACATGGATTAACTAATTATACACGAGTTTTAGAAGTTTCTACTTGAAATTGAATAAGTGTGTTGCTACAGGAGGAAGCCTCCAGTAAACTACAACGAACTTGAATATATACTGGATAGTTCTCTATCGGTTCTAAACTGTTCCCCTAAAGGCAGGGACGTAGCTACCCGGGGGGGGGGGGTTGTACGGGGTGGAACACCCCCAATATTCTTGAGTAATTTCTGGTAAATTCCCAGGTAATTTTAGCTGATTTTCAGGTAAATTATAACAGCATTGACAAGCAAACGTGAAAGCAAGTTAAGAAAGAATGCGAAATTTTAGTTGCATTTCCGGGCTTTCTGACGGTCCCTCTGAGCATCCCCCCAAACCCCATAGTAGATTTAGCCCCTTATCCAATTGTTGTAATATATTCTTTTAGGTAAGCTAAAAAGTAATTTTAAAAATTCTGCAATTAACCTAAAAGTCGTTCTTAAATAATTTACGCTGTATTTCTCAGGACATGTGGGCTAATCTATCGAAAGCGACAATAGCCGAAAAAGTCGGGGCACTGGGGCTGACTATTGGTATCATCATCGGCCGCTGGCTCTTGCCTCGCGGTGCCATCACACGTGACCAGCTTTCCGCGTTGCTGATTGGCTACGTGGGCATCGCCGCAGATATACTAGAAGTCTTCGAACTTTTTGAGGAGGAGAACCTGATGTATCGACAGTCTATCACCATAGCAACGCTGTTTGTTTTCTCCTGGTGTCTGTTGTCGTTTTGTTTGGTTACCACGGCAACCACAAGCAGTGACAAAGATGGACCAAAGCAACGCACAAATAAGGTAAATTGCTGCTCATAGGCTCTGCGCAGAATCGTGGCTACACAAGGATGTTGATGATAGCTTGATATCAATCAGTGGCTATAATATCCACCGTAACGATCGTACAGGTAGCCGGGGCGGTGGTGTGTGCGTTTATTCTTTGAAAAACATTCCCTGTCAACGGAGACTAGATTTTGAAAATCCGAATTTTGAATGTCTTTGGTTATGGATCCGCCCGACACGACTGCCAAGACCTCTCTCGGCTATTGCAGTTTGCGCTGTGTATAACCCCCCTGGCAGAACTGCTGAAGAACTACGTGATCTTGATGAATATCTGATGAACACAACGGATTCCATTAGGAATTGTTATCCTAATTGTAGAATCGTATTCCTTGGTGATTTTAATAATTTTGATGTTTCGAACCTAACCCATAGTCTTAGTTTGAAGCAAGTCGTTTCTGCTCCTACAAGGGGGTCATCTACCCTTGATCTCATCGTCACCGATTTACAAGATTTTTATGACAAGCCGCATATTCTTGCTCCGCTTGGGTCTGCTGACCATAATATAGTACGATGGGTTCCTAATAAAGTTGATGCTATTACCAAACCTAAACCGATTAAGCGTCTTATACGCCGCTATCCGCTATCCGCCTTGAATTCTTTCGGCCGATGGGCCAGCACGCATCAATGGTTCAGTAATCTGG